TGGCCTCCGGCCATTCTAAGAGAAGGACAGAAATGACTGTACAAGAAGACAATATTGGTTTAGAGGAGGGTACTCCGCATCCTCTAAAATACCTCAAGAGTTTCAAGAAAAGGGGTAATCCATTCTCTCCAAGAAGAATAAGACTCGAATATTGTAACAAAAGAAGTATCAGTTTAGAGGAGAGTAATCCGCAACCTCTAAAATGCTAGTACACTTCTAAGCAGAGGGATAATCCACACTCTAACGAGGAAGAAACTAGCTCTGATATTTGAGGTGAGTGAAGTCTCGACAAACTGTCACGGACACAGAAATACAAACTCGAGATCTAACAAGAAGTTCAAGAAGAACTGGCAAGAACTAGATTAATCAGATGAATACAAGAATAACACCAAAGAGGTGAGCTAAAGCTTGAAGAGATGTGTTGTCGAGGCTGAAGAACTCTTCAGCCTCGATTCCAATATATACTTCTATTTAGGAAGCTTCTCAAGTAACTTCTACCAACTAGGAAGCTTCTAGAAGGTTCCAGAGACTTGCTTCTAGAAGATTCTAGAAACTTGTCTCTAGAAGGTTCTAAGGACTATGTTCCTAATATCTTCTACTAACTAAGAAGCTTCTAGAAAGTTCCAGAGACTTGCTTCTAAAAGGTTCTAGAAACTTGTTTCTACAATGTTCTAAGTACTATGTTCCTAACACTTGTATTTATATGATGCTTTGTTGGCTCCCATATGTATTTATTAATATCATATTACTATTAATGAATAAGATATTTTAATCTATTTAGGCATTACCTTGAAATTAAGTCTTCTTCAACTTCAAATTCTTAATCATTATCTACTTCTATTAGAAGAGGTCGCATTTGCCTTGTCCCTAAGATATTTATTATCTTATATGGCTCAAGAAGAAATATGGAGATTATGAAATGGATCTTTATAGACTCTAGTAGATGTAATCAATAAGCAACATGATTGACTTATTTACAAATAAGAAAAATTCTAAGCCTACAATAGTCCAATTTGTTATAAAGATGAGAAAACTTGATATTGCGATGAAATAATTATATCTTATCATCTATATTGAATTGTAGTTTTTCTTTATAATAATTATTAATATTGATTTTTTGTTTTTTTTAATTTCTTTTAATTAATTCTTTATTGTTGCATATATTTTTGACAAACTAGTTGCCAAATCTTATGCCATAAGATTATCAACTTTTGAAAAGTCTAAAGCATCAAGTTATATTTTATAACCATAATGAGCAAAAATAGATGTTTTTTGAATAGAAGAATATATTAAATTATTATATGCAAACTTTACAAATGACAAATGAATTATTTAATTATCTTGATGATAATTTTTAGTGCATCTCAAATACTATGCCAAAACTTGATTCATCTATTTCATTTGTCTATGAATTTGAGGATGAAAAGACAAAGAGAGTTTTTTATCCATCTTTAAAATCTTAGAAAGGATTTTTCAAAATCTTGATACAAATTGAGTCTCCATATTCAATATTACATCTTTGGATAATCCTTGATAGCGATCAATGTTGTCAAAAAAAAGCTTAGTCATTTTTTTACTTGTAATAGATTTTGTACATTGTACAAAATGTGCCATCTTGATAAAATAATCTACTATTATGAATATAAAATCATAAAAATTGGTGATTAAAAGATTCATAATAAAATCCATAGAAACAATAGACTATGGTTGTTTCAAAATAAGTAATGGGTGAAGAAGTGTATAAGGTCAATGATAAGGAATTTTTGATCTTGAACAAATATGACATGATTGTACAAAGTCTTTAATTGCCTTTTATATTTAAAGCTATCAAAAATCTCTTGATATTAGTTCCAAAGTCTTATTATATCTAAAATATTCAATTATTGGAAAGTCATGACAAGCTTAAAGAACACGTAATTATACTTTACTTTTTAGAATATATAATTGTCCTTGAAAATAGAATAGATATTTTTAAATTTAAACTTAGAAGTATCATGAAACTTAGAAGAATTATTCTTAATATCATAAATAAGAGGATTAGAGGACATATTTGATTAATTTTTCTTGAGAAAAATTGAATAAAAAATTAATGTTGATTTTATTGCTTGAAGGTGAAAATGCTTTGGTTTTAAGAAAATTGTTCTTTGTTGATTAAAAGCTATGTCTTCTTCTTTTGATTTAAAATAAGAACATCTAAAAAGAGCATCTAACAAACATTGTTGATTTTTAAACTAATAAGTGATCTTGAAATCAAATCTTCATAAAGACATACTCTAATGGACTTAGAAACAATTCAAAATACATTGTAGTATGAAGTACTTGAGGTTCTTGTGATTTGTATATGTAGTGACTAAATTCAAGATGCCTTCTAGATAATGACTCCATTGTTGAAATCAATCTATAATTATAAGAAGCTCTTTGTTATAGATCTCATAGTTAATTTTGGTTACTGAAAATTTCTTGAAATGAAATGCTATTAGGTGGAGCTTGACATATGCCACAATTTATGACAAAAAATAATCCATAGCAAAATTTGATGCATTTTTTTCTATAAAGAATGTCTTGAAAAAATAAATGTGATACAAACATTGTACAAAAATAAATGTTGTCTTTAAAGCTTCAAAAAATGTTTCTACTTCTTTACCTCAATCAAGTTTGTTTTTATATATTAGGTATATAAAAAGAGTCAAAACTAGAGAAAAGTTCTTGATGAAGATTTTATAATAATAGAAAAAATTCAAAAAATATTGTTTATCTTTAATTATTTTTGAGATCTTCTAATTCATAATAGTTTGGACCTTTTTTGAATCTATTATTAATTCTTTGTTGAAAATGATGTATCCTAAAAAGTCAACTTGAATAATATAGGATACACATTTTTTCATCTTGGCATGTAATCATGTATCTTTAAGTTTTTGTAATATACAATAAACATAAAGTTTATGTTCTTGTATGTCTTTAGAGTAGATTATAATGTCATCAAAATAATAGAGAACAAAATCATCAAAAAACTCATGAAAGATATCATTTATGAGATGTTAAAAAGTAGTTGGTGCTTTCATAAGTCCAAAAGACATGATATTATATTTGAAATATTCATATATAGTTTAGAAATCTTTCATTTATTTCATTTTTTGATGTGAATTAGGTTATATGGTCCTTATAGATCTATTTTTGTGTAGATCTTTGCTTAATTGAATTGGTCAAGAAGTCCTAAAATCAAAATTAGGAGATACCTATTTCTGATGGTGATCTTATTAAGTCTTCAATAGTCTATGCACATGTGTGGAGATCTATTTTTTTTTCTTGACAAATGAAATAGGAGCTCTTGCTAGAGATTTTGAATGGTATATAAAGTTCTTATCAATGTATTTATTTAGTGTAGCTAGCTCATTTTACAATAAGCTATATATTGGTGAGAATAGTAGTTGAGCTCATTTTTACAAATCTATTGAATAATCATAAGATCAATGGTTTTGAAGAATATATATATATATATATATATATATATATATATATATATATATATATATATATTTCAAATATATCTTAGAAGTCTTGATATTGGTTAGAAATAATACTTAATGTTCTTCTACCATTATAAATGGATGTAACATTTAAATTAACCTTTAGCTAAGTTTGCAATAAGATTTATGGTGTAACAAAGAACATACAAAGTATTGAAAAATATAACAAAGAATTTCAAATACAAATTCTATAGTAGTTTCTATTTCATGTTAATTCTTATCTATTATCTTATTAAATCAAATATATTATAAAATATAATTATTAAATTTTGTAAGGATAGTTAAAAAAAATTTGAAGATAAATGAGACCTAATCTTAAATTTAGTCATTAAGTAAGCATTAATTCTAGAAATTTTACAATTACAAGACAACAAGTAATACTATCAAAAATATACTTTATCTATAGAATACATAGGTAATAGAAAATGTCTATTAAATTAAGATTATCATATTTAATTATTAAATACTTAATAGAAATATATCAACATGATAGAATATATTACACAAAGTCTTATTTCAAGTTCCATTTTAAAATTTAGGTAGTAATAATAGAGGCAAATTTACAATGACTTAATGACAACATTTAAGATATTTATTTGATATAGAAACACATGTTTATTTATTTATTTATTTATTTATTCTCTAAAAAAGTCTTTATATTGTATCTATTAATATATATAAAATTGTTTAAAAAAATATTCTTTATTGATTTATTATATACTTACTATAGAATATGTGAATATCAAATTTTGTAAACAACTATAGAATCATATAATATATTTTTTAAATCAATCCAAACTATAGATATTGATTGTATGGTTTATTTATTGATATAATTTTTTAATTTTAGAAATTATGTAATTATAATAATAAAAATTCAACCTATTTCAAAAAAATATAACATCTAATCCAATCTAAATAAGAATATTGAATAGAATTTTATGGTTTTAATTTAGTTCAAAAATTACCTAAGAAAATAATATTTAAAAAATATAAAATTAGTATTTATTATTTTCATATAGTTTATAATTGAAATAATAAAAAATATCATTAAAAATTAAATAAAATACTTATATTTACAGATACATACATATTAAAAAATATTAGATATTTTCAATGCTTTGGATTGTCTATTGGAACTACAACCTTCTTCCTAAAGACAATATTCTTTTTTCTTCTTAAGAGACTTGAAAGATAGCCTATAAAAATATACTTAGAGCTATGTATATATTTTCTAATTTTCCAAAGTAATAGTCTTCAAAGGGGTATATGGTGTTATAAATATACACCATTAAATAAATAAATAAGTCCTCTCCACCCAAAAATAAATAAATAAATAAAACATACACCTTTGAGCAAATCCTCCAAGTTACCTTTGGTAGGAGCAAAGAGTGTCCTTGGATTAGGAAGTGTCCGTAGTCATTGCACAACTTGGAGTCCAACTTCTTCGTCCCTTCTCCTCGACCGATTGGCATCGCTTGTCGTTTTTGGTGGCGTTCTCATTGCATTGCTTTCCATTGTGATTTGCATCGTCTTGTGCTGCTCCGTTTTGCCCAATGCGGAAGCTGTGAACGATTGCAAACGATTGAATGCATTATCACTCACTGTCACTTCATTGCAGTGAAGACATTGAAGTCTTACTACCGTGCAGTGCGTGTCAGGTTTTTGAATTGCTTTACGTTGTGTGGTAGCCATCTTGTGGGTAATTGGATAACTCGACATTCGCGCGGCTCAATTTGCATTATCGATCGATAGGCTTTCGTCATCGCTACAGCATCCAGATGCTCTTCTTGTCAATGTTACAATTTATCATGATCAGGTTGCGAATGATATCATGCTTCGAAATCATGTAGAGATTGCTGGCATTAGTACGTGGACCATGCAGTTATTACACAGCTACAGTACCCATTGGCTGGCCACCTCAAGCTTTTGCTCTGATTGTGGATACTGGCAGTACCATTACTTACGTTCCCTGTTCATCTTGCTCTCATTGTGTCTCCCACCAGGTGTGGCCCCAATCTCAAACACTAAATTGAGTCTTGGAACCTTGAGTTGACGCTTGGAAATTCAAGGGGAGGGAGTAATGTGGTGATGATCCCAAGCCCTAATTTGTCGTCTCGGTCTGTGTGTACAGGACCCAAGATTCAAGCCAAACCAATCGAGCACCTACACTGCAATCCATTGCGACGACCTAGATTGTGAAATGGGAACTTGCATTTACAACAACCAGTGCAGTTATGCCAGACACTATGTGGAGCAGAGCTACATCAGTGGGTACCCCTAGCCGGGACTTTGTGCGGTTGGGAGTCGGCAGCTTCGCCTTGAGTCGGTCTTTAATTTTTGGTTGTGAAACTACCGAGAGCGGAAACTTATACTCGCAGCTCGCGGATGGGATAATGGGCCTTGCCCGAGGATCTTTTGCTATCGTGGACTAGCTGAACGCGCAAGGGGCGATTGCGAGTGCGTTTTCGCTTTGCTATGGCGGCATGGACGAGGAAGGGGGAACAGTGATATTGGGAGCCATACTTCCCAGCTACGGAATGGTCTTCACCCGTTCAAATCCCTCTCGCAGGTTTGTGCACACCAAGTTTGATCTCCACTGTTGCAGTCGATGTAAGCTCTTTATTAGTGCTTCTTGATGATGCCTTGTTTTCTCATGTTCCCTGCATCGAACTGTTGCTCAGTGCAGTGTTGTAACCATGTGGGTGTGGCGATGGACAGCTAGTACTACAACGTCGTCTCGCGGGAGATTCGGATCCAAGGCGAGCCTTTGCCAGTAAAGCCCAGTGTCTTCGATGGACGCGACGGCACAATCCTCGACAGTGGAACTATGTTTGCGTATCTTCCAGAGAAAACATTCAATGCCTTCCGAGATGCTGTGAGAACCTCCAATCTCATCTATGCATCTGCTGCCGCAGGGATTGCACGTTTATCATGATTGTGATGATAATTTCTGCAGGGGAAATGACTTCCAATATGAAGGGACTTGGAAATAGTTGGGCAGTTTGTTCGAGGTGTGAAAGACCTCGAAGAAATCGATGGTCCCGATGCAAATTTCAAAGATAAATGCTACTCAGGTGGGGGGAGGTAAACGCCAACGCGAACATACTAATAAGACTGCCAACAGCTTATCGTCAAAGTACACTTTCATGACCTGGTTGTAAATGCGGTTGATGCAGTGACCTGGAGAATTTAAGCTCCTGTTTCTCATCGATCGACTTCGTATTTGGAGACGATAAGATGGTGTCTTTGGCGGCAGAGAATTACCTCTTCAGGGTAGGCACACACTCCCTTTCCCTTCATTTTGGGACTAAATGCTTCTCGACGACACGCGATGCGAGGGCAACATCATCAACATGAGTTGGAGAGAAGGAACAACCATTGCAATGTGCCATCCAGGCCTGAAACTGCACACTCTTTCATCTCGACTTCCATCCCTGTGGGTCCTCACAGTTACCCGTGGTGGCTCTTGCGACGGCGACCTGCACAGTTTTGCAATGTATTCTCGATGGTGGATTCCAGGCTGCACACCAAAGCATCGTGTTGGAACAACGGCATGGAGTGACCCACCTTCGAGGAGCAGCAACACAACACAACACATTACAATTCTGCAAAGCTTCCTTTCCATCCATTAATGCAACGCAATGCAATGGAAGCCCCAGCTGCCGTTTCGAACCTAGTCTCCTTTACGGTGTGTGCGTGTGTGCATGTGTATGTGTGTTAGTTCTGCAATGCTATCATGCAGTGGAGTATGCACCCGCATTAGCAAACTGATGCTCTTCGTAGTTTCATTGCTAATGAATGACAAACAACAAGAACCAGACTTATTGTGAAGAGGAGGAGGAATGCAGATCGTGCATGAAAATGAGCTCAGACTTGGTTCTGGTTGTCCTTCACCCTCATTCACTCAATCACCTTTATCCCTGGGACACCACTTACTTACTTTATTTATTTATATATCTATCTATCTATCTATCTAGAAGACTACTTTCAAAGTACTTGACACTAAAATTCTTATAAACATTTATTGATTGGGATATATATATATAAATTTTATACATTTTTTTCTTGAAAGTCTTAGATTTTGGAAATGGTATGTATTGAGAAGAGGCTATGAAAGGGGTTGAATCACTTATTTACTTGTTTATCTATTTTTATTTATTTATTTTATTTATTTATTTTATTATAGTGTTAAATATGATGATTCATATCTTAATTCCAATTTTTATGATAAATATATAAAACATATTTTTTAAAAAATATTTGTATTTATAGCAAAGGTTAGTATGGATTTTTAAATAATTGTAAGAGTTACTTTTTAAAAATAAATTAATTGCTAATTTTAAGAAATAATGTCATTTATATCATGTAAGAATAAAATGCATTCTATCTTGTTTCTATATAACATTGTTCATTTCTTTGCTTCTTAATTCATTTTCTAAAGATACAATTAGCCAAATAAAGCCTCTTGATTTGAACTATCCACAAGCTTTGAAAGTTGAGGCTTTTCACTTTCTTTTCAAAGAATTCTCTTATATTGTAACTTTGCAAAATGTCTTCAAGTTAAAATCTTATAAATAAAATTTGTTGAATAGATAATTATTGACAAAGTTTAATCATTTACAAAGAAAATATTGTTTGATTTTATTGTATTGCCATGTGATACAAAGATTAGCTCTATCAATTAGAATAATTCAATGTAAATGTTAAAAAGATTGATGAAAAAAAATTATGATGACTAAATTTAAAACATATTATATATACATATATATAGATATATATAGATATTTATATAAAAATAAATAAAAAATAAAGATAAATATATAAATTAAAAATTTAAATAAATTTTTAAATAATATAAATTTTAAACTTAATAATATTAAAAAAATATATTTAAATAAATTAATCAAAATTTTAAGAAATCTTAAATAAAACTTGAAATTTTATATAAAAATGAGATTTGAAATGTTAGGATTTGGAATAACTTATTAAGTTTTTTTGAAGAAATCTTATTAGTATTTTTTGTAAAGAATATTAATATCTAAATTAAAAATTTAAAATCTCTAAAAGTTTTAGATATTTTTAGAAAATAGAGATGAATATTAAAATATTTAAAAAAAATTCAAAATTCAAAATATTTTTTTAAAATATTTTTTAAGAGATTCATACATAATATTTTGAAATATAAAAAATTGATATAGAGATTAATTAATAAAAAATATATTAAGAGATTAAAAAATAATAGGCATGAACTTATTAGACAATTAATATGACATTTTCATAGATATACATATTTATATGAATAGTTATTTAGATAATATAAATAGATAGAAGTAAATAAAAAAAGATAAGTTTAATAATATCTTGTAGAGAAGCTTTCTAGAAGCTCCATAAACATGGTTTCATCTTTATACATATCTAAAGATAATTGATAGATTGAACACTTGGCCAATAAGTTAGTCACATGTTGTACAAGTTAATATCTAGTAATATAAGCTAATTTTGTGGCACATGTTGTCGTATGGCGTAATTTGCAATTTGGAGTTCCATTGGGTACCTAACTATAGAGAGTTTAGCTTTGGCTTATATATGATATCTTAGCTCTCAAAAATCCCTTTATTTTGCACAAAAGCTCAAATTGTAACAAAATCCGATAAAATATTTTCTTCCCTCAAAGGATATTTTTATCCTAAAATTTAGAAATTTATATCTCTTAATCCAATTGTTTAATTTTTCTCAAATTTTTATATAACATAGATTTTATTTTTAAGCTTTACTAAAAAAAAAAAAAAAAAAAAACCATAAATCTATTACCGATCTCTTGGCATCTTAAAAACCCTAGAAGGTACTATAAATCTCAATCTACAAGCATCTAAAAACTATTTTCCTCATATTTCAAAATCCAAAGCCCATATATCACAAAATTTGTGCATAAATTTTACTAAAATGATTACACATAATCTAAAAATGTTGAGCTAAAATCTTATCAAATTTCTCAAGATATAGCTCAAAACATAATCACTAGTAAATTAGGTCACTTATTACCATTAGATTTGAAGCACTAATTTTAACTTCCAATATCTCCTTTATTACAATTTAGAATCCATCAAATAATAGGCCAAAAGTATAGCCAAAAAAATATTCTTTCCAATCTCTATCGGCGATCATTTATTGCTTTCTATGCACGTGCGTTATATCCAAAAGAGTGACAGTAGATATGAAATTAATACCTGTCACAAACATACACATGTAAGCCAATAATTACATGTATAAATAGGTAGAAGTAAGTAAAAGTAGGTAAAAGTAAGTTAATTCTATAGTATTTGATATAGAAGCTTCCTAAAAGCTTCATAGACACTGCTTTGACTTTATAGGTGTTTTTAATTGACTTTTTGGATTAGAAACATGGTCAATAAGTTGGCCATGTGGCACACATGTTGTTAGCCTGAAGACCAAGCTAATTATGTGGCTCGCATGTAGAAAAACTTGCCTTGTAAGTCAAGGCATGTGTCCTACAAAGTCAACACATATTGGATGTCCTATAGAATGTCGCCACGTAGCCCCTAGTTAGATTGTATATATAGAGACAAGAGTGAAGCCTTCTTCACTCTTGTCAATTCTTTTTTTGCTTCGAGTGTAGTTTCAAGGGTCTCTAGTTTTCTTGGCTTTTCGTAATAGCCATTCCAATTTCTTTCTTAATATATATATCAAGTTATTTCTATTTTGTCATCTTTCTATGAGAGAAGTCTCACTTATTTATTTATCTTTATCATGTTCTTGTTCTTGACAGATTGATAAGAGTATACCTACAATATCAGAGCTTTATCTAATCTTGATTAAGAGTAGATTAGCCTTTTTTCTTGATAAGACACAAGCATATTAGAAGTTGCGGATTACCTTCTTCTAAACTGATATTGTCCTTAGTATTTACTTTGTTCTCAAATCCCATCTTCTATTTGTCTTGAGAGATATTAGATATCTTCTCTTTTTCTAAGTATTATCATGGCAAAACTTATTGAAATGAAGAGTGCAATGGCACAAATGCAAGAGCAATTGAGAGAATTAATGCTTACGATATATCAACTCAATTTACCACCACAAGGAGCAACAAGATTGGAAGGAAGTGAAGATATAGAAATGATTGGAGCTACTTCAACATCTGCACCAAATCATGTCCCTTCTCTTATGGTGGAACATCCTTCCAATGTTAGAGAACCAAAAATTATCCTACCCAAGAAGTTTGATGGCACCAGATCTAAGTTTTGAGGATTTATTAATCAAGTGTAAGTTGTAATTGAACTTCAAACCCGAAGCTATTCAACTCCAGGTTTGCAAGTTAGATTCATTGGTACGCTTCTTTCAGGTTCAGCGCTATCGTGGTTTTTATCTTTTCTTCAACGACGAGATCCAATATTGGATAATCTAGAGATTTTTTTGGCAGAGTTTTGATCCATGTATTGAGATCATGATGCAATTCATGTTTCAACCAATAAGATCCATATTTTACAACAAGGTAATCGATCAGTAACGTTGTATGCTTCATAATTTTGACAACTTGCAACTAATATCAAGTGGGATGATGCTGTATTTATTAGCCAATTTCTCTACGGATTATATTATGAGGTAAAAAAATTAATGCTCAACTTATCTAATCCTCAAACATTGAATCAAGCAATTGACTTTGCTATGAAGTATGATGATTACCTTTTTGAATTCCAATCTGAGAACCTTACAAGTAGACCTGAAGGTTACTATAATTCAATGGCAAGACCAACACCTCTTCAACACATACATTGAGAAGTAGAGGATATGCAAATTGATATAGTTTGTTTCAAACTTCTTATTGAGCAAGAAAAGACTTGTCATCGTCAAGAAGGATTGTGCTTATATTGTAGAGAATATAAGCACAATGTTCAACATTATCCAAAGAAGCTATGCAATCATAAAGTGAGGAGTACGGCGATCAAAGAAGATAACATGTCAAAAAATAAATTTGTCTAGCTACAATAGGGACCATGCGGGTGGAACCTTGTACAATGCCTAGTGAAGGTCCTATCCTCTCCTCAAAACCCTCTCCATGTTTTACAATAAATGTTATTCTAGGACCTAAATATCTCAAAGCCTCTACCTTGCTAGATTCAAGAGCCTCAGCATGTTTTTTAGATGAAAAATTTGCTAAAAGATATAGCATATTTTTAATAAAGAAAACTAAACTTGTTCATGTAGAAATCATAGATAGTCATCCGTTGTCTTCAGGAGATATTACTCATAAAATCCTTCCTATAGAAATAGCAATTAATGATGATAGTAGCTTTATAATATTTAATATCATTAGATCTCCTTCTAATCCAGTCATTTTAGGTTTATCATGGCTAGAAAAATATAATCCTAAAATAGATTGGACTTCTCGTAGTCTTGATTTTTTTGAAAGTATAACTAAGAGTGTAGTTAATCAAGTAGAAAGTCATAAGTCTAGTATAATTAAACCTATATTTGTAGGTGCAAGTGCTTTCTTATATGCTACAAAAGAAGGATCACCTTGTGTTATTTATGTCACACCTGTTTCTATTGGTCGAAAGACTTCAAGTGGCATTCCAAGCCAATATCAAGTTTTTCAAGATATATTTGAGAAAAAGAATGTGGATACTCTTTCAGAATATTATTCCTATGACTGCTCAATTGACCTTCAAGAAGGAACACAACTGCCATTTAGACCAATCTACAATTTATCTCAAAATGAGTTAGCTGAACTCGAGGAGTATATTGAAGAGAATTTGGCTAAGAACTTCATAAGCCATTTCAAATCTCCAACAGGAGCTCCAATTTTATTTGTGAAGAAAAAAGATGGATCCTTGTGGATGTCTATTGATTATCAAGGACTCAATAAAATCACTATCAAAAATAGGTACTTGCTACCTTTGATATCTAGACTTCTTAATCAGTTGAAACAAGCTAAGATCTATACAAAAATAGATCTATGAAGAACATACAATTTGGTATGCATCAAAAAAAGAGATGAATAGAAGACTATGTTTCGAACAAGGTATGGACATTTCAAATACAACATCATACCT